GTTTTTGAGATATAGTTTACATACCATAATTCACCTTTTGGCTGAAATGATCGGACAAGGACTTTAAAGTCTATATGTTAACTATGTTCAATGAGGAAAAGAAAGATGTAGTATTATCAGATAAAACCAACTTCAAGACAAAGAGAAGAACATTTGGAAGAATAAAGAAGTCACTTCATCAGGAAGACAAGTAATAGTTATGTGTGTATAGATCTAATAATTCAGCTTCAAAATAGTTGACAGAATTCAAGGGAACTGCCCCCCACCCAGTACTTGATAGAACAACTAGGTAAAAAAATCTGTAAAAACATATATTATGTGAGGAAAACTAGCAACTGTGCTATCCTGATTGGTAGTTACAGATCACTGTACCCCTCCTATTGCAGAATACATATTTTTTAGAGTACATTTGGTATGCTCATCAAGACTACATGTAGGTCGATAAAGGAAGTCTTAATAAATTTACAATGATTTAAAGAATGCAGAGTATTTTCTGTGACTCTAATAGAATTGTGTAAGAAATAAGTAATAAGATATCTAAGTAAATCTCAAATATGTATAAATTAACTAACACATTCCTTACTAATTCTTACATCGAAGAGGAAATTGTAGAGAAATTAGAAAATATTCAAACAGAATGATGATGGGAATACAACATATCAAAACTTGTGGGAGGCCAACCTGGGCAGTTTTGCCTTGCTAGCCCTCCAGCCATGCCCTGCACCACTCCTGGAACTAGGATGTGTGTGCCAGCCCCACCCTCAGTTTCCAACTTGGAGACACATGCTCTCATTGATGAGGTTACAAGGTTTAGCACTGAGGATAAGCAAGGGGGCTTAGCAGTTGGGGAGTGGTTGGAACAAATACCCTACAGGCCTTACCTGCTTGGTTTCTCAGACTTGAACAGAGGCAGCAACACGTGGCCACAGTTGCATGCTTGCCAATTGCCTGATGAGCCACTTGGCATTTTGCTGCATTTCTTGGGTCTCAGACACACTGGGCCAGAAAGCAAGGTCTCCTTTGCTTAATGAGAAAGGAAACTTTAGGACAGAAATATAGGCTCTGCCTTCAGAGGACTGATGTTGAGAAAATTCACATATACAACCTAAGTCAAAACAGGCAGCCCTACAATAAAGATGGAGACAAAGCATCTTCTTTTGTAAAAGCAGAAATCACAGGTGATGGTTCCTTCTTGGCATTGGGAATAACTTGAGGAGTGGTTCTCAGGAGCCTGGGCTTAGCGAGAGCTTGTAACACTGGCTCAGGTTAGATTCTTCCCAGTCCCTCCCTGAAGAACTCTGTTGTGTTTCTGGCAAGTCACTCTGCCCCAGATAATTCCATAGGAGCAAGAACCCAGGGATTTGATGAGTGTAGGAGCAATGCCAGTCTAAACTCCGACTTTCCTACAAGGAGAGTAATTCTTCAAGAAGAAGAACCCATGAACGTGCCATTTGTGGCAGAAGCTTCATGTTTGTTATGCGCTCA